TTGATGTTTTTGGAAGTGATGGCAACAACCTATCTCATAGAAGGAGGAGAAGAAGATGTGGTCTTTACCCGGGGGGTGTGAGTTACCCCAAGAAAAACCAGCCTGCACGACGAGCCGTGGCGGCTGCAGGGCAATCTCCGGCAGCGCGGGAGCAAGCACAGGGTTCAAGCTGGAGCTAGGCTGGTTCCTAGCGGGAAAGTACGGTTAAAAGGGCGATTAAAGCATTACCTGCGCACAACCTTCCCCTCTCCCCTGTCTGGCCAACCCTGCCAACGCGGGTTAGTTAGAGAAGCAATCCCGACCGTTGCTGTCCGCTGGCAAGCTGGGTTAAATCAAGGCAATTCTGGTAATAAAAGAGGGATGCGGGGAACGGGCAGGGCAAAGCCGTGAATCGGCATCGGTCGGGTGCGACCGAGCCAGCCGCGCAGGCAGCAGCCGAGGGGAAGGCAGCGGGGAGCACGGGGGGTCCCACGTGGGGGCCCGTTCCCCATCTCCACTGCGCCACAGAGGGGAAGGGAAAAAAAATCCCAGCTACTTTCTTCCAGAACAAAAGCAAGTCACTGGAGCGCTTCACAACGCTGCAAATACACTTTGAAGCAGTAAATATCTCTATTAGCATCGTGATGCCAGTTGGCTAATTATGTCTGTCTCGGTAAAACATCTAAAAAATAACCCCATGCAAGTAATGTCTATTCACCAATTTTTTTTGTTGTTGCTATTCTACAATTTGAGATAATCCTCCTTGTTTCTGAATCTTTGCCTTTTAATATGGGTTGGGGGGGGGGAGATGCATAAGCAGGAACAAAAGCAGTAAGGAAGAAAAAAAGATAAGAGGTACGGATCTTATCCGAGCTTTTAAAACAAATGGATACACCCCGCGCTTCGAAACGCGACGGCAAGCTGCCGCTGGCACCGAAAATTTTTGCCCCTCCGTGAGTCGGCGTCCCAGCCTGCGAAATGGGGGAGGGACAACGTGTGCCTGATACAGCAACATTACAACCATTCGCTCAAAAATTAAGAGCCGCCAGGTGTTTTATTCTGTTTAGAAAAGGTATGATGGGCATAATGCAAACAAGTTGGAGCGAGATGGGTCGGTATTTTTTACTGCCATGGATTACCGGCGTGGCACGGTTATCGCCGTTACCTTAAAAGCTGAGCACGGGTCTACATACACCGAAGGAAAACCAGAATCGGTGCATTTTTTTGATCTCTCATTTCTGCTGAGCGAGAGAAAGCTGGGGTTGTGTTTGGGGTGTGAAATCCCTTGAAATCTTGTTCCTGAAGAGCGCGAGCGCGCTGACTCACAGCCAGAGCGTTCCCACCCCGGTCCGCCCCGTGCGGCAGGGCTGGGGGAGCATCCCGGCCCCTGGCCCGGACCGGCCACCCACACCCCCGCCCCGGGGAGGTCGCCAGGAGTTTGGGAAAGCGGTGTGATTCAGCCGGGAGGGAGAAGGGCGAAGCACTGCAGGGAGGGGGTGGGAAGAGCTTAAAGTAGGGAAAAAAGTGTGGGTGGAGAGAATCCTGCAAGCTTCTACTCGGGGATGCTCAGGAACCCCAGGGAGGGGAAGGTGGGAGAAGCTGTGGCTAATTTTCTCTGAAGTTTCCCCAGCAATGTCATATATTTACTTGGCTTTTCCATGTGCAAACCCAGGGCCACACACCAAAGCAGCTAATTCTCCTCTGGATGCACAGGAGAGTTGCAAACAAACCTCGCAGGCAGGGGGGGAATACAGCTCAGTGAGGTCTGCCGGGAGCTGGAGTTTAAAACATGTAGCTCCCCCTCCCACTCTCCGCTAGTCCCCTGAAACGAAGGCACGCAGGAATTGCCAGCGTGAATCAGACTACATCATTGCTAATTTAGGGAGGCAATGGTCCTTTCGCCACGTTGGACCGAGCAGGACATCAAACCTCGGCACCATCCCCGGCCCGGAGCAGGCGGCGGGGAGGCCGGGGAGCCCGGCCGGCGTTCCAAGCGTGCGCCGGGGATAAATGATCAGTGGATGCAACCCTTTCCCCCACAGCAACTTTCATCTGAACATCGCTTTGCAACCCCTAATCAGGCCCCAGAAGACCCCTCGCAGATAAGCAAGGGATAAGCACGAAACGTTTTCACCCACAGCTGATAAGCCGCTGTCCCTGGGGATGCTGAGCCGAGCCGCTTGCTGCCGAACCAGGGGCTGGGGAGGGAGGGAAGGATGGACAGACGGACAGACAACCGGCACGCGAGGGAAAGGGCAGGGAGAGCTGAGGCCGGGACAATCTGCTCGCTCGCACTGCGTTTTGGAAGTTAATTACCCAGACGCTTAGGAAAAGTGACGCCAAATCTCTGGCGACCGCACATCGTCAAAAATCAATTCTGCCCCCGGCGGTGGCGGACGCGGGCGGCGTTTGCCAGGGGCCCGCAGGTCTAAACGTGGTACGAAGCGGTGGTAACGACCGGTTTTTGTCAGTAACACCACCACCGTCAGACCACCAACTAAATTCATGTTTTGTGAAAGGTGCCCGCTTCCCATGGAAAGTTTCAGGGCTTTATTTTTTTATTTATTTATTTTTATTTTTTTTCCAATCGAAACCCCAAGTGCCAGCAAGCCAGCGCAGCCTGGATTTCCGCCAGAGCTTTTCACTCTTTGAATTTCCACCAAGAACCTCAATTCTTTCGCCGGAAAGAAACCTCTCTCTGCCTGCAGCCAGGAGAATGACACCCGGCCTCCCGCGCTGCGAGGGGTGACCCCAACCCACCGAGGCCTGTCTTCCCAAGGATTTTGGCACGTGGCGTGCCGAGGGCTTCTACAAAACCACCCATTTATACCTGATCCTCCATGAAGTCAAAAACTGGCCCTAAGCTACCCCAGAAACTCCCCCTGCGACAGTCAGGGGCCCTTCCCCAAGCCCTGCTCTGCTCGGTGGCGGGCCCCTTCCCTTCTCCCGGGCTCCTGCTTTGGGAGAGGGCTCGGCTCGAGGTGTAACTGCAGCCAGGAGACCTGCCTGTTCACGGGACTAGCGGCTATCCGGGAGAGATCAAAGCGTTCCTGCAAACACCAACAGGAAGGTCGGGAGCATCCGAGGAATGATGCGAACGTGGAGGTAGTAACTTTCGCTTTCTCATTGCCGTTACCGAGTGAATTTGAGCGAGCACCTCCATGGCCGGAGGGCGCTTCCCCTCCCCATGCCGTGCCTTCTGCGCTCAGGTAAGCGTCGCTACAAGACATCGGTGTTAGGAAAGGAGCTTTCCGTGATGCGATACGGGAAAGCCAGAGAACCCTAGAAGTTCAAGGGCAGCTGTGACCACCATCAGTAGCTGCTGAAACAGGACTAATGATCTCATTAGTGTTCCTAACAAGCGCCGAAGGCAGCCTGCACGGGAACCGAGGAGAGGCAACGGGGCGAAGGCTGGCAGGGTGCGCGGTGCTGCCCATGCGCACGCCGAGAAAACCAACCCTGGGCACCTGAACCACGGATCTCATGACTTTGGGCTTCCTAAAAATCGTCAAAAGCTGCAAATCCGTGGCCGTGCAGGCTGCCCCGGAGCCAGGGGGGGGATCCCAGCCCTGCCCAGGTGAGAAAGGCATGAAGGCAGACGCGGGTTAGACATTAATCTCGAGCATCGCTCCGGATGCCTCGCTGTACTACATCGTGTCCATGGAAACTGCATGCACCGTCCCACCCCGCTCCCCCCGCCTCGCAGGAACTCATAGCAACCGCTCCAAACACAGCGCGAAGGCAAAAAAAGGAAAAAATTATTCAAACGGATCACAAACAGCTTATGTCGAGGGAGACTCTGCGCCAAATTCTGGTTTGGGTTTTCTCTTTGGTGGAGACGAGAGGGGAGGTCACGGGGTGGCGAGAGGCAGGGAGAGGAGCGATGTGGGGCTACGGTCCCTCGGAAATAAAATGCATCCATCCCCGCAGGCGTGTGCTCCCACCTGCATTTCAACCCCTTCCCTATGAACTTGTAGGCATTAAGCCACAAATGGATGTCAGAGCGAGCCCCTGCAGGAGGGGAGAAGGAAAAAAGAAGACGTAAACATCCATTTTATGTTGGTTTAGGTCAGCCCGGGGAAACAAGGCACCTTCCTCAACTTCGGCAGCGGAGAGGTGTGCCCGCAGACGGCGAGCTCTTCGGAGCAGGGGCTGCTCGTATCTCTGCATCTTGCACAGAGCCAAGCGCGGTGTCAGTGTTAAGCAAATCAAAAATAATGTCAGAATCTACTCTCCCACCCATTCCAAGATGAGCATGAAAAAAATAATGATATTTTACTCACCCATCAAAAGAAAATTACTCACGCCAGGCGCGTGGGCGAGCAGAATTTTGCAAGGCTGTTTTAGGCCCTGACTATGCTACAAAAATATCCATTTTAAGCATGGTTGTGAAACACGGTTGTGGCTCAACTATAACACTGTTTTTTAGCTACCTGTACAAAGAAGGCGGAAAAAAATAATAATTAAGAAATAACCACGTGCTAATCGCGCTCCCAGGACCACGCCGGGCGCTGCTATCTCCCACCGCGGCGGAGGATGCGGCGCGCGGCTCTTGCCGGCTGCTCCACCCCGCGAGATGCTGCGGCGAGCCGAGGTGCCGGTGCTGCCCGGCTTGCAGAGGGCACGCCAGCGTTTCGGTTTTGCGGCAATAATACCTCTGGGATGTGCAAACCGCCTTGCACGGGTGCTACACGTGGCAGCGCCGTGCAGGGAGGTGTTTGGGAGCTGCGCACACCTCGCTCACCGCTTTGGTATCCAGTTGCTTCATCCAATCTAATTTTATCCCGTGCTCATCTCCAAATCCCAGTTTCGTTGAAACCCGGAGAGAAGGGGGAGCGTTGCCATTGACCACGAGGGGACCGCGATTTGGGCTCCGAAAAATATCAATATTGACTCACTGGAAAGAAAACGGCGCCTTGGTCTGTGATTGCATCACACCTGCCCAGCGTGGCCACCGCACAGCTCCAAAACACGGAAAACAAAACGAACAACCAACAAACCTACTCTTACGCTACAACCCAGCTATGCCTGCCACCTCTCCGCGCTCTCCTCTTCCCTTGCTAGCAGGCAGAAATCCATCCAGCCAACCGTCCCTTCTGCGACAGGCAACTCCTCTTCTTCACCATCCCCAACTATGTCAAAAACGCGTTCACATTAACTCCGGATTGCATCTGATAAAGCTCTGGGGAGTTAAGTATCGCACACCCAAACAGTTCCACTCCCGACTTTAAATCGGTGCCAGCTCCTTAGTCCACTTAGCGAGAGCTCCCTGCCAAGAGGCATATGGTTTAGCAGTCCGGCAACGGCAACCCCCCCATGCAGACCAATACTACGCTGCAGTGCAACAAGAAAACACGTGCTTCGCGCTGCCTCACTATCAACATTTGCTTAACGTATTTTTTTTCTGCCAGTAAATACCAGCTGTTGCAGCGGTGCCGAGAGGCAGCACTCGGATAGCGAGCTGTCACACTACTAAAACCCCCTTCCCGTTTCTAAAATGACCTGCAGGAGCTGGGAAACCAAAAGAGGAAGTATTTAGGAGTCCGGTTACGAGCTGCAACAGCATTTGATTTTATGCGGTTTCACGACCCTTAAAAACCCTTCAGACGGTCACAAATTAGATGCTTGCAGCAAGGGAGGATGATGATACAGTAAAAGCCATCACTCCGTTTCTCTTTATTTTTATAAAAGGAGCGATGCCCCAGGTAACCACTGGAGAATTTTCCCCCCTCTCCTCCAAAACACACGGCCACGGGTGAGTGGTGAGGAAGAGGGGGATGTGGACGCGTTCAAGAGACCCCAATCCACGGCGTAAAGCCTAAAGGAAGCCACCAAGCTCTGCTGAGATTTGGAAAACATCTCATCTGTCCATGCAAGGCTGTTTCCCAAAACAAGCCTACTCCTGCTCTAAATAAAGCTTAGCCTAGAAAGACAGCGCTAGCACTGCCTAGTTGCCTAGGTGCGGGAGCTGGGAAATTGGGGGTTTAATCCAGCCTCTGCCGCCAGTGGGTTACGCTGTGCTCTCTGGAGCAAAGTTTTCCCGTGTTGGTACAACGGGCATTTGCCGTGTTCCCAGTCCCGATGCGGCAGAGAGAGCCCTGACCCACCCAGCGCTCGCAAAGAGCGAGGGAAAGCAAAGGATTAACCACGCGCAACTCGGAAGGCATCTACCACCCCGCTTGCAAACAGCCTCTTTGCCCTTTAATCTCTAGGGATCTCGCACGGGCCTTCGCAAAAAATTAATTTAGGTAAGGAGTGCACAGAAGCAAAACTGGAGGCAGAGGTACGTGCCGCTTCCCCAGCATGATCTGCAGGGACAGAGCTGAAGATGAAGCTCCATCCTCTTGATCGGCCGCGACAGCCCACCCCTGCAAAAAGGGGTTTTAATCAACGCTGCCCCGGGTCCCAACGGTGCCCGTTGCCGGAGCGAGACACACGCGCAAACTAAGCAAACACGCTCTGCTGCACAAAGCAACCTCCCGCCCCGCCGGGCTGGAACAAAGCTCGCCCCCTCCGCGGGGACGGCAGAGCAAGCGGCATCGGGGCCGGACATGTTTTACACTGACGTTTGAGGAGCAGGGCACGACCCCGGCACAAGCGGCTCCCCCTCCACCCCCACCCCGCCCCGGCACGCC